GGCGACCTTCTAGTCACTAAGTGAGTTAATATTTCGGCCAGACTGCTCAGAAGTAAGCGTTCAAAAATTTTTCCTCTGTCCATTTCACTTAAAACCAAAGTTTTCTGGAATTAGTTTAGAGTCCCTAGGACTGGGAAATATCGCCGAAGTTGCAGGAAATCAACCCAAAGTTGGTTAAACTCACGCTGCGCGTAGCCCGGTCTGGGCGACTTTCTAGTCCCTAAATGGATTAAAGAGGGGCAATATTTCGGCCAGACTGCTGATAACCAAGCGTTTAAAAATTTTTCCTCAGTCCATTTTACTTAAAACCAAAGTCTTATTGAATTAGTTTAGAGTCTTTAGAACTGGGAAATATTGCCCAAGTTCCTGGAAATCGACCCAAGGTTGGTCAAAATCACGGTGCGCGTAGCCCGGTCTTGGCGACTTTGTAGTCACTAAGTGAGTTAATATTGCGGCCAGAGTGGTCATAACGAAGTGTTCAAAAATATTTTCTCTGTCCTTTCTTCTACTTCCGCCACTTATAAGAACAGAGGAAAATACCAAATTGCACGAGAGGTAAAAATGGACCGTAGCACACGTGATAACTGTATTTATATTGCTGTTAAAGTTGTTTACAATTTGCTAATTGTTTCCATTCACAGGCAGCAGCAATCGCTAACTCTTCAGAGGAAAAGCTAGCTTTAGGATCTCTGAGCAACAAGTTAAAATTAAGTATGAGGCTTTTGTTCTTGTGTAGGAAACCACACTAACATTCTCTTTCTCAAGACTTGCTGTATCAGTAACCTACATAAAGTACAATATTCAGAGAGGAAGCTACATCAGCCTTAGCCGGTGTTCATGTGGGTCATCTAGCCTGGTCGAATTGGAATTTGGAGATGCTGGTTTTTGTGGAGGAAGGAAAACCGGAGAACCCGGAGAAAAACACCGAGGGTAAATAAAGGTATTTATATATTTCTCTCTCTCTCTCTCTCTGATTGTACCCTCAGTCATTTAATTCTTAATTGACTTTTAGCTGAAACATATCCAACCGTTGAAAGATTAGCGCAGTCGCTAAAGGAAGGCGAGGTTGACTATATTCTTGTTGACATGTACCTCCCTGTAAAACGGGGAGATTTGTTCAACGGCTCTTGGTTCGAAATTGCGGCGTTGCTAAAGACAGAAGTGTTCCACGGCGTAATTCTCCAAGGCGACGCCTTAAAACTCGCCTACACCTTGGAAGAGATGATTGCGAACAACAACGTGCAAACTAAATTTCTTACGGACAGCGACACTGAACAGGTAACACTGTTTTTGTTGTTCTTTACAGAATGTCTTCTTACACCACCAAAACACTCCCCCTGGGGAGAAGGGCGTTTCATTGCGTTTATATTCTTGGGTAGGGTACATGCCTGTCACAGTGTTTCCCCCTACAGCGTGCGTACATCAAACTCAGGCGCAGATCCATACCCGAGTGTCCACCATTTTACGGTAATCGGTTAGATTTTTCAGAGTGACTTAGGAACCCAGCGAAGGGGACTTAAAATCCGAAACATTTCACGAAGGAACGAAAAATCTTTAGAAGCTTGTGCGTTTCGGGCTGGTTGTCTCAGAAATTGACCACCATCTTCCTAGATCCGCACCTGTAACTGGCAATCGTTAAGGGAAAGCTGACAAACTGTAATAGACTGGGATCCCATCCATGACGAGGCTCTTTGCGCGACTCGATCTGGCACATGGTATAAAAATGAGCTATGCTGCGTCGCAGTTTGTGCATTGGGGCAAGACAAAACAACTCGCACCAGTGAAGCTTGACTTTCCCACTGCGTCACTTATCCCGCAAGCATGTCTGATTTTGTTACCGGATGGTGCAAAGTCCCTCTACACCCCTCTTGAAAGCTGGAATAAGCCCCGCTGGTGTGCACTGGTTTAGGTTGTATGCCCACGCTAACGACTTTGAGGAATACGTTTTAGCCCATTATTTGGTTGTATTATTGAGAAGAGGTGTGCGTGAAGCAAGGTGGCAGTGTGCAAGAATACCGGTCAGCGATTCTGGATGCTAGCCCTTCATCCGATCACAAGCTTGATTTAACCCCAGTTTCACGAGTTCAAAGAACAAGACATGTTACGGGTTGGACTCCTGAAACTTAAAATTCATGGTCTGCTGTGATAATTTGAAATGTTTCAGATAATTGATAAAGCATGTGTTGTGTTCTTGGGCAAGACGCTTTACTCTCACATGGCCACTGCACCCAGATGTATAAATGTTACCTCGAATTTGATGCTGGGTTAACCCTGGCGGGGGGGGGGGGGGGGGGGGGGG